TTTGTTTGAAGATTACTTTCTTGCTTTTTCTGGGTTGTAGTTTCCCTCCTTGTGTTGGAGTTTTCCATCTATTATCCTTTGAAGTGCTGGATTTGTGGGAAGGTATTGTGTGAATTTAGTTTTGTCATGGAATATCTTGGTTTCTCCATCTAAAGTGATTGAGAGTTTTGCTGGGCATAGTAGTCTGGGCTGGCATTTGTGTTCTCTTAGGGTCTGTATGATATCAGTTCAGGATCTGGTCTTTATAGTCTCTAGTGAGAAATCTAGTGTAATTCTTATAGGTCTGCCTTTATATATAACTTTACCTTTTTCTCTTACTGCTTTTAGTATTTTTTCTTTGTTTTGTACATTTGATGTTTTGATTATTATGTGATGGGAGGAATTTCTTTTCTGGTCTAGTCTGTTTGGAGTTCTGTAGGCTTCTTGTATATTCATGAACATCTTTTTCTTTAGGTTCGGGAAGTTTTTCTCTAGAATTTTGTTGAAGATATTTACTGGCCCTTTAAGTTGGGAATCTTCATTCTCATCTATACCTATTATCCTTAGGTTTGGTCTTCTCATTGCATCCTGGATTTCCTGGATATTTTGGATTAGGAACTTTTTTCATTTTGCATTTTCTTTGATAGTTGTGTCAATGTTTTCCATGGTATCTTCTGCACATGAGATTCTCTCTTCTATCTCTTGTATTCTGTTGGTGATGCTTGTGTCTATGACTCCTGATCTCTTTCCTAGGTTTTCTATCTCCAAGGTAGTCTCCCTTTGAGATTTACTTATTGTTTCTACTTCCATTTTTAGATCCTGGATGGTTTTGTTTAATTCCTTCACCTGTTTGGTTGTGTTTTCTTGCAATTCTTTAAGGGATTTTTATGTTTCCTCTTTAACGGCTTCTACCTGTTTACCTGTGTTCTCCTGTATTTCTTTAAGGAAGTTATTTATGTCCTTCTTAAAGTCCTCTATCATCATCATGAGAAGTGATTTTAATTCTGAATCCTGCTTTTCCAGTGTGATGGGGTATTCAGGACTTGCCATGGTGGGAGAACTCAGTTCTGATGATGTCAAGTAATTTTGCTTTCTGTTGCTTATGTTCTTGTGCTTGCCTTTCACCATCTGGTTATCTCTAGTGCTACCTACACTCACTGTCTCTGACTGGAGTCTGTCTTTTCAGTTATCTTGCTTGTGTCAGAACTCCTCAGAGTCCAGATGTCTCTGTGATCCTGTGATCCTGTGATCCTGAGCACCTGGGTGGAAGAGCTCCTTGGACTCAGGCTGCCTCTGAGATCCTGACATCCTGCTGCTCAGAGTGCAGTGGTTCCTCTGCTGCTCTGAGTGCAGTGGTTCTTCTAGGATGGCTCAGGATATGGTGTCTTCACAGGAGCAGACCGGCTAGGTGTTCGATGCTCTGAGTGGAGTGGCTCCTCTAAAATGGCTCAGGATACAGCGTCTTCATAGGAGCAGACCAGCTAGGTGTCTGCTTCAGCTGAAAGGATCAAGCGAGGGTCGGAAGGGGAGTAATATTCCAGAGGGGCTGGGTTTCGGTGGCTGATGGGTCCTGAGTGTCCCAGGCTCCCAGTTGTAGCTCTGGGTCGTAGGGTAGTGGGAGGGGATTCTTACCCCCTGCTCTGAGTGCAGTGGTTCCTCTAGGATGGCTCAGGATATGGTGTCTTCATGGGAGCAGACCAGCTAGGTGTTTGCCCCAGCCAAAAGGCTAAGTTGCATTTTCTTTCATCAACATCCGTTGAAGTTATCCTGTAGAGTCCCAGGCCTAGGAAACTCTTTCTAATGACATATTTGAGTTACTGCAACTCTTTTGCATACCTCACATTGCGGTTAGGTGGCATGAGCGTGATCAGTGGCAGGAGGCTGAGGGGAGAGTGCACAGGGCGGTGGGAAGCAAGTTTGGTGGGACTGTAAATAGTTACAAATAATAGTTATAAAACAGTCCCTTCCATCAATCAGTGCAGGTATCCTCTTTGTAATTCTCCAGCTGATGATAAAACAGGACTGGGAATTTGTTTACAATTAAACCTGGCAGGAGAGTTCTTCCTCAAATCACAGTGAGAGCCAAAGTGGAACTCACATTGTGTAAGATCAGAGTCCTAGGGTAGCACAGGAACAAGCAATAGCAAAGATGACATGTCCAGACCTAGTAGGAACTGAATATATGACAACAGGCCACCAAGTTACCATATGATCTGAGCTGCCCATCGTGAATCTGACTCACCAAGTCATAAAGTAGGATGTGCATAGCAGCAACCCATCATCAGATGGAAATGGTATACACATGGCAGGGCCTGAGCAGGTCCTGAAGGTGTAAGCAAGTTACATGAAGTCGCTTCAATGCCTTTCATTTTCTATTCCTGTTATAATGCTGTCTGATACCAAGCGTGCACCTATTGCCTTATGGGATTCTACCCTATGATTGGTTGACTAAGGATGGAGAACTACTGCAGATTCTGCATGTTCTGTTATCCACCTAGAAGTGGATAGCTGTAGCCTTACAGCTCCTTTTCTGGGACAATGCAGAAAGACATGTGTAAAGGGAAATCTTCACAGTGAGCAGAACTTTGGGTAGTACACATGATCATACATTTTGTTTAGAAGGAGAAATGGCCAGAAGTGCGATTGTTCAGTGATCATGAGCTGTAGCCAATTGGTTGGCTGGATGGTTAGGGACGTGGAAAAAGCATGATTGGAAAATTGGTGAGAAAGAAATCTGGGGAAGAAGTAGTGGAGAGATCTTTCCAAAGCAAAGGCTGTGAAGATACTTGTGTCCCATGTAAATGCTTATCAAAAGGTGACTTCAGCTGAGAAGTTCAATAATCAAGTAGATAGAATGACTTGTTCAGTGGATAGTCTCCCAGCCATTCCTGTCATTGCCCAATGGGCACATAAAAGCAGTGTCTCTGGTGGCACAGATAGGGGTTATGTATGGGCTCAACAATGTGGACTTCCACTCACCAAGGCTGGTCTGTCTACAGGTGCTTCTGAGTGCCAGGTCTGCCAACAGCAGAGTCCAACACTGAGCACCATGATGTAACACCATCCTTCAATGTGACCAGTTAGCAACCTGGTGGCACGTTGACCACATTAGACCACTTCTTCTGTGCAAAGGACAATTTGTTTTTATTAGAGTAGATACTTATTTTGGTTATGGATTTGCATTTCTTGCACATAATGTTCATATATGGACTTAATGCCTTATCTACTATTATTATATTCTACATAGTATTACTTTTGACCAAGGCTCACTTCACGGCCTGAGAAATGTGAGAGTGGGCCCATGATCATGGAATCCACTGGTCTTACCATATTCCTCACCATCTTGAAGCAGCTGGCCTAGTAGAAATATGGAATGGCCTTTTGAAGACATGGTTACAGCGTCAATTAGGTAGCAGCAGCCTAGGGTTGGGGCAAGGTTCTCTCCAGTAGGTGTTATATGCTTTGAATCAGCATCCAATATATGGTATAGTTTCTCCTATAGCCAGGAGCCATGGGTCCAGGAATCAAGATATGGAAAAGGAATGCCACTCATTACTGCCCCACTAGTGATCCACTAGGATAATTTTTGCTTTCTGTTCCCATGACCTTTAAAGTGTTGAGAAAGTGCTGTAGATGTCAAGAAGAAGCTTCATTTAAAGAGACAGTACAGGATACACTGCAAAGGCGCAGCAGGCTATTTGAGCTAGAGAACCCAAGGGCAGAGTGTTATTGTTTGCGGTCTCCTTTTATGGGATGCGGGCTGAGGAGTTAGTTGTTACGGGTAAGGTATGTGTGGATTTCTGCTTTGATCAAGAGGCTTAAGTTATGTAAGCTTTTCTTCATTATGCTTGCCATTTTCCATGATACATCTGATTTTACTCATATGAATTTATAATCTTGCATAGACATATGATGGTAGATAGAGATTTTTGTCTCTAAAAGGTAAAAAAAACCCCACAGTTTGCATTACATGTGTGCTCCCTAAATTGGTTCAGGCTGCCTTACCTCCTTCCTCCAGTTACTGAATGTTTAAATAAAGACCACCTGTGGCAGTCTGAAGGCCTCTGTCCCCTTGGCTCATGTGTTTATAGTCTTAGTTCACACTTGGGAAGAATTAGGGAGTGTGGCCTTATTGAAGGAGATGTGTCACTAGGGCGGCTTTGAGGTTTCTTTCTTTTTTCTTTATTGGAAGTAGATTTTTTTCATACAATATATTTTGATTATGTTTTCCCTCCCTCAACTCCACTCAGATCTGCCCTACCTCCTCACTTCCCCAAATCTACACCCCATTCTCTCTCATTAGAGAACAGTCAGACATTATGGTTGTTTGAATTAGAATGGCCCCCAGAGACTCAAATAGTTTAATGGATAGTCATTGGAGATGGTGCTTCTTAAGAGAGGTTTGAAGGTGAGACCTTGTTGGTATAGTTATAGCAATATTTATTAGAGAAAGTGTGACACTGGGGTGGGCCCTATGGTTTCAAATGCTCAAACCAGGCCCAGTGTAGAATTCTCAACTACCTCTCCAGCATGATGTCTGCCTGCACGCTGCCATGCTTCCTGCCTTGCTTCCTTGCCATGATAATAATGGCCTAAACTTCTGAACATAACCAGGCCACAATTAAATTCTTTCTTTTATAAGAGTTGCCATGATCATGGTGTCTCTTCATAGCAAAATAATACTAAGACAGGCTTCTAAAAAAATTAAGATAAAATACAAATAAACAAACAAATCATATTAGGACAAAACAAAGAAGCAAACAAAAAACAAGAGCCAAAGCAAAATCATTAGAAACACATACAGTACCAAGACACACACATTTACACACACAGAAAATGTATGAAAACAAAATCAGAAGCCATAACATATAAGCAAAAGACCTGTACAATAAAACAAATGCCCAGACAAAATATTATGAAACAAAAGCCCTCCCAAAATTTTTTGTTTTGTGTTTCTGCTCCTGGGCATTTAACATGCCCTTAAATGTGGTTTGAACACACAATGAAATTATTCCACCATAATGTCTGATTGTTCTCTAATGAGAGAGAGAATAGGGTGTGGATTTGGGGAAGTGAGAAGGTGGGACAGATCTGGGAGTAGTTGGGGGAGGGAAAACATAATCAAAATCAGCTGTCAATTGGAGATAGCCTCTGGGTGAGGGATGGGGACTTGTGACCACTTCCCCTTTCTGGGAAGGGACCCCATGTGGCTTAGACTTGAGCCACTGCTGTGCATGCTGCCATCGTATCTGTGAGATCTTATGTGCATCAGTCCTGGTGTGTCTGAAAAGCTGTGTTTCCTTGATGTTGTCATCCTTTCTGGCTCTTACACTCTTTCCACCTCCTCTTCTTCAGAGTTCCCTGAGTCCTGAGAGGTGGGGTTTGCTGGAGACATCCTATTCAGGAGTGAGTGTTCCAAGGCTTCTCACTCTGTACACTGTCTGGCTGTGGGTCTCTGTATTTGTTCCCATCTACTGCAGGAGGAAGCTTCTCTGATGATGGCTGTGACAGACAATGATCCATGAATATAGAAGAATGTCATTAGGAGTCATTTCATTGCTATAGCTTAGCAGAACAGTAGTAGTATTTGATTTTCCTTTAGATCTATGGCATATCTAGCCTCAAGTTCTTGGTTCCCTGAGCCATGTTGGACATGGGTCCTATCTCACGGAGTGGGCTTTACTTCCAAACAGATAGTGGTTAGTTACTACCACAACTTTTATGTCACTATTTTACCCATGTATCTTTTTGGCAGATCAGGTCACCATTGCAGATTCAAGGGTTTGTAGCTGGATTGCTGTTTATTTTTTCTTTTTGTAGCATGCAGAGTACATTCTAGTACCAGGAATGCTTTTAGTAGAAGTGAAGTTTCCAGGTGGACACTGGCTCAACTTCTCCACGTGCAGTGAGTTATACAGGTATTGTCTTCAGCAACAGGGCATTGCTGTCAGTTTGTGGAGAGAAGCTAATTGCTTTGGCAGTAGCCTGGTATTTTAGGATTTCCATTGTTGTGAAGAAACACCATGATCATGGCAACTCTAGAAAATAAAACATTTAATTGGGGCTGACCTACAGTTTCAGAGTTTTAGTCCATTAATATTATGGCAGGAAACATGGCAGAGTGTGGGCAGGCATGGTGCTGGAGTAAGAGCTGAGAGGTTTACATCTTGATCTGAAGGCAGCAGCAGGAGACTGTGTCATTGGGTGTAACTTGAGCACAGGAGACAGGAAAGCCTGCCCCCACAGTGACATACTTCCTCCAACAAGGCCACACTCACTCTGACAAGGCCACACCTCCTAATAGTGCCATTCCCTCTAGCCAAAGCATTCAAAGACATGAGTCTATGGGGGCCATAACTATTCAAACCACCACACTTGGGTTGTTCTGGAGTTTCCATGGGGCCCTTTGGCCAATATCTTGAATAGAGGTAACCCATTCCCAGTGCTAGGCTTTGAGATTTCAAAAGCCCATGTCATTCCTGTTGGCTGTCTTTCTTTCTCAGGGTTGTTGTCTCAACAAGTAAATTTTTAAATATTGCTCCAGCACCAAGCCTGCCTGCCAGCTGCCACACTCTACACCATGCTGGTCATGGAGTAATCCTCTAAAACTGTAAGCAAGTCCCAAATAACCCTTTTTCCCCTATAAGTTTCCTTGGTCATAGTGTCTCCTCACAACAATAAAAAATAACTAAGATATGAACCACAAAATGGAAGTCATCACCAAGTTGTTAGCAAGGAGTAACTTATTCTACGTTTTGAAGTGGGGTGTACATGCAGGTTAGAGTCCTAGGTTGCTAGATGCATTGTTAGCAGAACTGTGTGTGCACAGCCCAAGTCAAGTGGAGTCCAGGTTAAGTTATTCCCTATGCTTGCTTGCACCAGAATGACTTCTTACTAGCCTGAATCAGTAGAAAGACTGAGTTGAGCTAGGATTCCTAACACCATAGGAAATTACTGAATCGTATCAAGAAGACCAAATTCTGAATGTAAAGCAAAAACAAGTCTTAGGTGTGGATTTGCTGCTGTTTACAGCTCCCCTTTTGCTCTCCTTTTTTCTAGAACTCTCTCTCATTTTTTTTCTTTCTATAAAACACAATGTACAATAATCCTACTCTCCTCTGGTCCCCAAGAGAAAAGCTGTTCCATATCAGTCATCTCCTCCTTAGGTCTACTGCTAAATATTTGGTCTACATGATTGTTGGCTGCCTTATGAGCTCTTCTCACCTCCAAATTTTGCTGTTCACAGCGATGGCAGCTAGGACTATTTTAGAAGTAGTGATCTTTCTTTGCTTCACCAAAGATCTGTGTGATGTTGACAGTCAGGTGGAAATTCTGCTGCTTCTTCCAGTGGTGAAGCTTCTTACTGGTCTTCTGCAAGTGAACAGAATGATGGTTACACAAGCTGACTTCCTGATGATGCCTGTTACCAGCTTCATCTCAGCTTATGTGGAAGCTTTCCACGTAGGCCAAGGCCGTCATGGTTGAGCTCATAGAACGCTGAAGTTCATAGTCTATCTCTGTCTAGCTAGCAAGCTTATGATGGGTGAAACAGCTTGTAGTCTCAGCTGGGTGTTATGCTGCACATTTATAATCGGTGTATTGAGAGGCTGAGATAGGAGGACTGCCGCTAGTTCCAGGCCACTTCTCTTTCAAAAACCAAACTGAAATAAAGCAACATAAAAGAGAACAAAGTTAAAATTAATCTTTGTGAATACTATTCCTAAGAGGGGTCTGGAGAAATGATCCAGCAGTTAAGAGCACTTGTCTCAGAAGACCCAGGTTCAATCTCTAGAATCCATGTTGAGTGGTTCTAAGAGAATCCAATCATCTGATCTCTTAAGTACACACACACACATTCATATACACACACACATACACAAACAACTTACATATTCTCTGGAAATTAAACTTAGCATTGAAAAATAGTTCAAAATAAAAGAGGACAAAAAATTGGGGCATACTGGGGTGAGAGTGGAGCTGGAAAGAGTTAACAGGAGTTTGGGGTGAATGTGCTTAAAATATTCTGTATGGGATTCCCAATGAATTAAGGAAGATATTTAAAAATGCTTCTAACTATAAGTAGTAAAAGACTAATATATGATTCTTAAATGTATGCTTATTTGGTAAACACTTCCAAATATTAGGTTTATTGTTGTTCTGTTTGAGGCCGGGTCTCACTATATAGCACTGGCTGCTCTAGAATTCAGTGTGTAGATCAGGCTAGCCTCAGAGTTGTGGCCGTCTATCAGCACTGTCATACTCAGCGCCACGCATCACTTTAGTTTATGACTGCCATGTTATTGTGCCTCTCGCTTATCGACAAAGAGGGCTTGAACCTCACACTCCCCTCTGCTCTCTTCTTACAGACTATCCACAGTTCCCTTTCTTCACATTATTTCTTGAGAATAAAAAAATCCAATATTCCAGACCACTGAACTGAAAAGTAATCTGCTGGGAATGAGTTAGGATAGCCTTCGGTCCTTTGTGATTGCCACTCAGAGTGGCTCATAAACCATCTCAAGGGCAGGCGGATCCTACAGAGGAGAGCTCAGGACAAGCTGCCTTCCAAGCAGGGCCGTGTAATGCTGTTCATGTAGAGGAGAAGACTGAACAAAGGGACAATGTGACCAAGGCGTCACTATACTCTCTGATTTTCAGATTTTTAGTTATGACATTTATTTGCTTTCTGTTAAACAAAATATATAAGCAAATGTCAAGATGATTGCTTAAAACTGAATACAAAGGCTTGAGCTGTAACTCCATCACTTGGGAAGCTGAGGTAGGAGGACTGTCATCAGTTCTAGGCTAGCCTGGGGTACAGTCTCATAACACCAGGCAAAAATTGGTTGTCCAAGACAGTGATTGCAGGAATGACTACAGACCCGTAGCAGGCATTTTCATTACTTTTGTCCTTAAGAGTCTAACATGCCTTCTGAAGCAATGTCAACTTCAGATGAGCTATTGTTAATGATCCATTGACTCTGTAAATACTTACTGAATACCCAAGTGTTGGGGACTTTATCATAGTCTCGAGACTCAATGGACAAAACTAGACAAAACCACCATCCTTCAGGAGTTTTCAATCTGGGGAAGGTGGGGCTAGAAGAGTCAAATACTGATTAATTAAAAAAAAAAAAACCAGGAAAAAAAATTGCACAGGGAGAGGCTCAGTGCTACTACTGGGACCAGTACTCTGAAGGACAGGTGTTCAGTGGTAGGACTGATTTCACTTCATCTGTGGAACTACAGGTGAGAAGAGGAGTTTCCACAAGGAAGAGAACCTGGGATTTGAAGTGGAGAAAAGCTTTGGGGCAGAACGAAAGAACTAGAGACACAGTCTACATGGTCCAGGTTCAGAAAGGACCTGGAGGTGTTTCAAAATGGAGGAGCGGGTGGAAGGAGCCCAGTGCAGCAATCCTTGTAGGTTACATTGGATTTATATCATTTCAAAGTTGGGGTGAAAAGACTGGAAATCTGTGTAATCAATTTCTATGAACAATCAAGCAATGAAAATAGTTTCTTGGTATGTTTTATTTCTCTTTTTCTTAAGTACAAAGTAGAGAGGACTCAAGACAAAGGTCCTAAGGAAAACTCTGGTACAATAGAATTCATTTCTCCTCCCCTGGAGCTTTTAATTCTGACCAGGACTCATTTTGTTCTAGTGGGTCCTCCGTGTATAGATCCAGTCAAAGTTTATTGCTTAAAACTGGAAGTGAATGATTTCAGGTTATTATCCAATGCAATGAGCCCTTGGCTTCCCCTTATTCCACAGGTATACTACTTAACAGTCTGTGGCTTAGTCATTGCTGTAAATAAAATTACTTTCCTGCATCAGTAGTACAGGTATTATGACTAAACATTAATATTTATGTAAAGCAATTAACTAGGTACACAGTGTTTTTATTATGCCTTATATTAAATATTTGGTGTGTGCTGGGTGCATTTGTTAGGATAAAGGCCCAAGGTTCACAAGCTCACTGATTTGGTTAGGTTAGCTTCAGCAATCCTACCCTCTTAGTGTAGAGGTTACAGGAGTTATGTCACACTGGCCTTTTGAGCTGGTGAGCTGAACTCAGGTCTTTGATGTGCAGCAGACACTTTACAGACCGAATCACCTCTCTTGCCTACTGCAAGTATTAGCCGCTCCTCTATGCCAGATCTCCAGTATGGTATGAGAACTCAGGGCAGGGGGAAGAAGAGGCTTCTTGGAGATCCTTTCCAGAGGTCTGTGAGGTCAAAGCGATTTTTTATTTTAAAGAGAGTCTTACTATGTAGACCTAGCTGGCTTGGAACGTCCTCTGAAGACCAGGCTGGTTTCACAGAGCTTGATGTGCTTCTGCTACTCGCGTGCTTTTATTAAAGGTGTGTACCACCACACCCAGTCAGTTATCTTGTTAATACCCAGAGGTCATTCTCATTCTCTCAAGGAGGTGCAGTGGAATTTTCCATAACTATGCAAAAACGGGCAGATAGTAATAATGTTCGGAAGCAGCTAGAGGATCCAATAGTTTTCTAAGAATGACATTACTTTTTTCTCATCACTTTTTGTGTTTTAAAAGTTACTTGTCACGACAATGCTTTGCTAACGCCACATACTAGAATTTTAAAATCCAAACCCTGTGCAATTAATGTTGATATCTCCTACAGAAACACATTTTTGTTTTTGAGTAAGGAGATCAGTGTTCTGGCGCAACCAACGTTTGAACAACCAGACACCACAACTTGCCTCTCCACGACCACACTCCATTTTTGTAGTGGTTTCCTCCCACTGGTCAAATGTCCCATTCCACCTAAAACACGATCTCCGGCTCTGGTCTGGCGCTGCGCGGCGGCGCCGCGTTGTGGGGACATCCATGAATACCCCTCAAGCCGGCCTACAGGTCAAACTCTGAGAGTCTGCAGAGGCTCCGGTGAAACATCCAGACTTCCGGCTCAGCTAGGCCACGCCCAGCCGCTTTCGGGTTGTGGCCGCCCGGAAGGCAACACCAGACACCAGAGCCAGAGGGGGCGTTTCTGGCGCGCCACGCCTCGCAAGGGTGGAGCCACGCCCACATGGAGAGGCGTGGTCTCTAACCGGCGCGGGAAAAGGGCCGAAATCGCGTGCGCGCGCTCAGACGGCTATCGCGCGCAGCACGCTTAGGGAGGGCATGGCGGCAGCGGCGGCTGCTGGGTGCGGGACGCCCAGAGAGGAGGACGCTCCGGGAGGGGAGGTAGCAGCCTCGCAGGCCCAAGCCCCGACGAGTGCACCCGGAGGGGCTCGCCTCTCGAGGCTGCCTCTGGCGAGAGTAAAGGCCTTGGTGAAGGCAGACCCTGACGTAACGCTGGCGGGACAGGAAGCCATCTTTATCCTGGCGCGTGCCGCGGTGCGGACGGGAAAGCAAGGGCGCCTGGGTCGGGGAAGGGGCGTGGCATTCAGGGGGCGTGGTGCGAGGGGGCGTGACGGGCCCTGGTTTGCTGTCCTGACTTGGCTGAGACCTCAGAAGGCCCTTGTAGGCCCCGTTTGAGTTTGTTAGCCACTCTACTCCTCACGAGGGCCCACACAACTTTAGTTTGCTTGGGTCCTGTGGCTCACACAGAACTTGAAGGGGATCCTAGTGAATGAGTGGGGTGGATTTATAGATATTAGGGCGGGGGGATCGGAGCTATGGAAAGGGATAGTAGAAGTATTTTCATGAAGTTTAGTACAATATTAGCTTCTAGAACTTTGCTGTATGGTAGAATCGCCCTTCACCCTTCTTGTCTACGTATACACAGGATTGCTCATCTCAGTGGGCTAGAATCTACTAATCTCTGCTTGCTTTTTCTTTTCAGGAACTGTTCGTGGAGACTATTGCAAAAGATGCCTACTGCTGTGCTCAACAAGGAAAGAGGAAAACTCTCCAGAGGAGAGATTTGGGTAGAGTCGCTGTGGCACCTCAGGGTGGACAGGGGAGCTATGGGCTGGGCTTTCTTATAGCTGGTTCACAAGGCATCATTGAAGCAAGAGGAAATTTGGTTTTGATTTGTCTATCTGGTAACCCTTGCACGTGTGTAAGCCATTAGGGACTCTATCTCTCATTCCCTTCTATACTGCCAAACTCTCTTTCTAGTATCTTTAGAGAGAAAAGTGAATTTAGGAATAAGACAGGATTGTAGGAGGCCTCGAACAGCATTTTCATGGGCTTTTGTGGCGAGACAGTTAAAAAAACTAATAGTGTAAAGATGAATCTTAGGACATCAGGGTTATAGTTTATAAATTATATCATTTGCATGACATTCCATGTTGGCTATTACGTGGATTATCTGTTTTGGGTCTGATGTCCAAATGGCAAGAGCTAATCAAATATCCTTTTACCTTGTATTTCAGATAATGCAATAGAAGCTGTGGATGAATTTGCTTTCCTAGAAGGTGAGTTCACTGTCAGCACAGACTATTTCTCTGTTGATGATGTGAACTTCAAACCTTATAAAACCTTGTAAAAACAGATGTGTGGTCCTCCTTTGTATACATGGCAGTGATTCTCCCTGCTTCCTATTTTGATAGAAAAAAAGGAACATTTTCCATTCTTGGGAATTAGAAATTCTACAGGGAAATTGGAAGCTTAAAAGAAGGAGGGAGTATAAAAAACTACCAGTAGATTTGGATTTAGATTTCGAATCCTATTTATATCTCCATCTCTAAATATCAATATTGCTCCCTCATAAGGTTAAGAAATAGAAACAATTTGTAACTTTTCATTTTTATTTATGTGTATGTGTGTTTCTGTGTGTTTATATGGCAAGTGTATGAAGGTTCCCATAGGAACCAGAAGAGTAGTGTTGAGCTGCTAAACCTGGATGCTGTGAACAGGTCTTCTGGAAGAGCAGCAAGCACTTTTTTGTTTTGTTTTTGCTCTGTTTGAGACAAGGGTATCTCTGTGTAGCCCTGGCTATCTGGAATTTACTCTGTAGACCAGGCTGGCGTCAAATTTGCTGAGATCCAAGATCCACCTGCCTCTGCCTCCAGAGTACTGGGATTAAAAGTGTGCTTTACAACTGCCTGATGATTCGCAAGAGGTCTTAATCACTGAATCATCCCTCCACCCTCAGTTCCTAACTTTAAAGACAGGGTCTTACGTAGCTCAGGTTGGCCTTGAACTCTCATGGTGTAGCTGAGAGTGACATTGAATTCCTTTTCAGTCTTCATCACCTCCCCAAAATGCTAGTAATAACAATGATAACAAGTAAATAAATATATAAATAGGCATATGCCACCTGGCCTGACTCTAAAATCTTTTCTTCTCTTTTCACTCTCTTCTGCTTCTCTGTGTTAACCTATGCCCATGGCACTCTTTAGATGTTCTCTTTGAATGTGTTTTAAGATATCTCCCCAGTGTCTGCTTCAAGTCTAGATTTTTGAATATTCTCTTGAGTTGTAGATTTTGTTTTTCCACCTATTTGTCTTAAAAATAACTTGAATTAGTTGCCCAACTTGCTTTATAGCCCAGTATATGGTTATCCTTGGTGGTGTTCTTTATATTCTTGAAGAGAAAGTACTCTATTCTGTTTTGCTTGCTTATTTTATTAGTAAGAATTGCCTGTTAAATTCTCCTACCACAACTGTAGATTATTTTCATTTAAATTTCTGATTCTGTTTATTTTTGTAAGGCCATGTGATTAGGTTTGTAAAAGTTTAATATTACATTGTTTGTGACAGCCTATAGTATTTAATTTATAGATCGACTATTATTATTTCTAGTGATTTTGAGACTCCCATTTAAAAGGAGGTTATTAGATCTTCCCATTTAGAGAGACTGAAGTTTGATTCTTTTCTCCTTCAGCCTGCCAAACAGCCCCACTCAGCCCTCTCAGATTGGCAGATGCCTTCAGGGCCACCATAGCTTTGGAGGTTGACCTTACTTTGTGACTTTGCCCTCCCTTAGTATGATTTTCAATTATTGAGAAATTTTATTTTTAAAATATGTTTAGTTTTATTCATTGCTCTAAACAGAGACTTGCCATCAACAAAAGCAGAAGTTGCTAGGCGTGGTGACTCATGCCTGTAAGTGTCAATTTTTGGGAGACTGAGGCAGCAGGATTTTAAGTTTGAGGCCAGTTTGTGCTTCAAGGGGGGCTCCAGCCTAGTTTGGCCAATGACCTACTGCCTTAATCAACAACAGAAAACCCCAAAGAAAGTTATTATTTTTTTAGTTAGAAGTATTGCTAGTTTGGTTTTTCTAATGTTTATTCCCCTGACTTATGCTTTATTATAAGATTAAGAAATAACTTTGGCCTCTCCTTTTACTATGAAGGCTCCTTTAGTCTAATGCTTTTCCTTCTGTGTGAACATAAAATGAGGCCGTTTTGGAAGCTGGTGGTTGTTGTTTTGCAGCTTCACTTCAGGGTGAAGAGGAGCAGATGTCATGCTTGAGGCCCCACAGATCACAAAATGGAGAATGCTTCCTAGGAGTGTGACTGCCAGAGGCTGTTCTGGTTTCCCAGATAGGCCTCTTGGTTCTTTGAAAAAAGTCCTTTGATTTTTTTTTTCTTCTCCTTCATTTCTGTTTAAATCTGGCATCTGCATGTAGGGAGGGCTGTAAGGGGCAGGGAGGGAAGCCTGAGCGTCCTGGGGATCATTAGCTCCTTCCTTTCACTTCTTTTTCTGTCAGTGCAGGTAGCTGTGTCTAGGACAGTACTTCTCAACCTGCCGAATGCTGCGGCCCTCTAAGATAGCTCCTCATGCTGTGGTGACCTGAGTTAGAAAGTTATTTCATTGTTACTTCATAACTGTACTTTTGCTGCTTTTATGAATTGTAATGTAAATATTTTTGGAAATAGAAGTTTACCAAAGGGATCACAACCCACAGACTAAGAACCACTGGTCTAGCGCCATCTGCTGGTTCTCCTAGGGTGGGGGGTAGCTTCTTCTCTCTTACACCCTCATCTGCATTTGGCTCAGATCTTTGTTCTGTTTATAAACATGCTCAGTGAGATGTTGATAATTCATTCTTTTTTGTTGTTGGAATTGCCCAACTGCTAGTAGCTCTTTGTTCTGTATTGTGGACTATGCCCTTAAAAAAGCCTTTTCTCTTTTGAGTAGACTCTTGGAGGGCATACAGACTTGTGAGCTCAGGTGCGCAAACTCAACTGAGACTTTCTGAAAAAAGATTAGAGGAACTGGAGAGATGGATCAGTATTTAATTCTATACTATAGCAGAGGAGCCAAGTTCAGTTCCAGCATGCACAACCTCTTGTAACTCCAGCTTCAGGGGGATCTGATGCCCTCTTCTGGTCCTTATGGGTATTGTACACACACTTATACATGTAATTAAAAAAAAACCTTTTTAAAGTTATAAATGCTTTGCTTAGAGAGCCTCTCCTGTTTTGTATGTTCATTAAGTAGTGCAGCAATTCTTTAGCTCTTTTCCAGCTCTAGTTCTAATTCTGTTCGTTGGTGGGGTTAATTCCCAATAGACTACCTTCTCTAATGACATCTCCCCTGGGTCTTTGGATAGAGACTCCTCAGATTGCAACTGCTCTTACCAGCAAGGCCCTGTGTACTTTAACTTTGCCCAGTTTGTACCACTACCCCAGACTGAGACACGTTCTAATACATTGCTCTTTCTGTTTTTAGGCACTTTGGATTGATTGTGGAGCTGGATGATTTTGTGAGCTTTGCTGCTTCCGTCATCTTTCCCCTCTGTAAGCCTCAGCTTTGGAGAGAGTCTGCACATGTGTACAATCTTCTTAATCTTTTACCCAAAATAGAAGAAGCAGAGATCTCTTGGATAACATTCTCCACAAAGTCTTCCATTACTTGAGTCTGTCTTCCAATTCAAGCCTGGATGTAGCTGATGCTGTTTGGGGCAGAGATGAAAGGACTGTTCTGCATAGGTGGTTTAATGAGCACAGAAGACTAGAATAAAGGTCTTTGGTTAGCTTCATTCCTGTGTTTTATATTGCCTTTGCTCTTGCCCTGTGACCTGGAACCCATGTGATCAGGCACAGACCTTCCTCATCTTTCTACCAACCATCCCAAGTCAGTCTTTTTATTTGTCTCTCTCAGCATGGCATTGGAATGTGGATCGATAATATATGGGAAACCTTTTCTCCTTAGGAGTCCAATCGATGTGGTCCCAACAGTTTTATTGAAGTATAATTCATGTGTCATATTCAATTCAAACTGTAAAGTTCAGTGGCTTTTTAAAAAACTACTCATAGGTATATGTAGTGAGATTTTGAACATTTTCCTGTGAATGGATTCACATGAGTCTTGTGTATGACAAAATTTAGATAATGTTATTTAAATTTTATCTATGCTATGATATGTATTTGTACCCTTTCCTTTAAGTTGTGAAATATATATAATATAAAGCTTCCCATTTTAACTGCTTTTCAGTGTGTTGCTCAGTGAGATTGAATATATTCAGAGTGTTGCACAACCATCCCCATCATTGGCCTCCAGAACTTTGTAACAGTGTTCTCAGCCTGGAACACCATGCACATGGAACATAACTTCCTTTCCTTTTCTCATCTCATGCCAGGCTAATTGATTTCTTTGTTTTTGTGAGGTGTGGGCAGTGTACTTGGAGTACTTAGAATGTAGTGCTTCAGGAAAGCAGCAGAAAGCCCTGGCTAGAGCTTCCGACAGTATTCTGCAGCATAGATCTCTTAGGATACAGAATCTGCATGATCTTTCCTCTAGAATAATAGATTCAGTCCTGTAATATGTTAAAAATAAACTTGCAGAAAAATACTAGATTTGTAGAAAAGTGGTTTTAGGTCTTGCTTACCAAGTCCTCCCAAGACGGACATTTCAGGGTTACCAGGAACTGACATTTATGGCTTATTCATTGGGTTCCAGTTTTTATTTGAGTTCACTTTTTTTCCATTAATATCCTTTGGTTTGAGATCTAATCCAGAGCATTAAATTGTTTTTGCTTCTAGAGTCTCCTCAGTCTTTCTTGAAGTGTCTTAGTTTTGTTTTTAATTTGTGTGTGTTTACATATGGGGAGACCTACTTTCAAATCATTGGGCAGCAAGTGACTTTATCTGCTGATCCATCTTGCCTGTTCCCTTGTTGGTTTGTCAGTCTGTCTCTTTATTTAATTGTGAGTCTGTGCCTGTGCCTATGGGTATGCCACATTGTGGGAGCAGGTTCCTTTTCTTGTTGAGCCATCTTGCTGACCTATAGCTGGAGTTTTGTCTGCATTGCTTTGTGTTCCTGGATGGTCGCATGCATGCACATACCCAGGAGCTAATTCGGATCCCTAAATAGAAAACACATGTGCACCAGTTATTCTTAAAATGCCTTGGCTAACTCAGTGACTAGGCACTCTTAAATCTTCCCCTATTACCCTAGGCCCAGTCGGGGAAGTGGCCAGTAGCCACTTAACCTGAAATCTTATATGACTGGTTGGCTTTATCTCCTCCACTACTACATTCTCTTCTCCAGTCTTCTGATTCTCTGTGTCCTACCTGCGCAACTCTAGTGTCCCACCCAGTGCTCAGTCATTGGCTATTGGCATCTATATTGATAGATCAAAATCCAACTGGGGGCAAGGACCTTCAGTGTCAGTAAACAGATTCTTGATGAAAGCATCAGAACCACCCTCTACATCTCATCTTTTCTGTCCAATTTAAAAACAACCAAATTCTTAGACATAAATTGAGCAGAACCATAACAATCATGTAAATTGCAGAGTATGATATACAGTTAGCATCTAGTCGATCATATTTGTCAATTCAATAAAGTACTGTGCCATCATTCCTAACTTAAAGAGTATAATTCTGTCCCTGAATTATGTTTAGATTTTAGCCTGTAACACCATCTGAAAACCATGTTTTTACTTCTGTATCATCTTTAATGTTTAACAACTTTTATTTTAGGTTTGCTTATGGGACTATAATTAGTCTTCAATCTTGTCAGAAATCTGGGAATGAGTTAAATATTACCTGAGTATATAGGAAGCATCAAACATAGCTTCTAAAACTTAAATTGTAGAGACTGATGACTGCCTGAATAGCCCCCTAATTTCTTTCAACATAAGAGCATCTGTGTTCAATCTTCTGGCCCAGGATCATCTAACAGACCTTTGTAAAGGAGAATATATGAAGGACTAGCTTACCCTGTCTTGGTAGAGCTTAGTAGTCAACTATCCCACATAGTGTGTCCTTTTCTCCAGACAGTATTTTGTCTGCAGATGAAATAGGCAATTTCTGACCTGTAGCTATCTTGCCACAATAAGCACCCTTGTCTGGAGGTGAAGATGCTCAATTCTTTGAAGGAGAATGAGGAATCTGTCAGCAGCAGACATGTCACATTGTCAAATGAACCTTAATAATGAAATAACATTAAATGTCATATTCTGGATTTCTGATGTTTTTGAAGATTGTCTATATATCTGAATAAAGTGTACTGAACTGTTAAACCATGACTACTTTTAGCCATTTCTATTTGAGTAAATTTAAAGTACTTTATTATAATTAAATTAGAGCAGGGCAGTGGTGGCACACGCCTTTAATCCCAGCACTTGGGAGGCAGAGGCAGGCAGATTTCTGAGTTCGAGGCCAGCCTGGTCTACAGAGTGAGTTCCAGGACAGCCAGGGCTATACAGAGAAACCCTGTCTCGAAAAACAAGCAAACAAACAAACTAAATTAGAATCTAACCTAACCAGGAACTTACTATCTGGCTCTTAATTTGAAATAAACTCATTTTATTCTTAAATGAGTTTCATAGGTACAATGCCTAAGGATAACAATATTAATTTCAAATTTTGTATCAATATACAGATTCATACCAATGAAAACCTTAATTCTATGTCCATATATAAATTCTATACCAATGTAAGAAATTGTAACTTCAATTGTGGATCAATTACAAAGATTTCTACCTGTGTAAGATTATGGCTACATAATGTTTTGTTCAAGAATATTTAGCTATCCATCCCATCTATTTCCTCCATGTTCAAAATTATGACAATTCCCAAATAATCCCTTAACATGACAACCTATCTAATTTGTAAAATAACCATAACCAGACACCGAAACCCAAGGAATCGGGCTGACAACTCTCCATAGCTTCTTCCTCCTGATTAGGGTCAATGAGAAATTTTTTAATGGGTTGGGGAGGGGTAGGAAAATTAGAAAATTGGTTAGACTTAAGAAGACTAGCTTTAGCATCTATTATCCAGTCTCTGTATGCTTAGAAGGCTCAGGGCTTGACTGAAGTTCTTACTGGACCTGTCTGAAAGGTTGGATGAAGCAAAATGATCTGGAATCAGCAGCAATCCTAAAGCTGTTCTAGAAGCAAGTCTCTGGACAGCATCAGGAAGCAGGGGACTGGAACAGCACGTCAGTTCAGCATCTTTGAGGATGAATCTTGTCAAAGTTGTACATTCTGTAAAATATGAATCTCATAACCAAAATTTTAGAACCATTAAGATTTTTGTACAGATTGTACAGGATGTGCAGATCAGTTAAGGATGAAATTGTGCTTCTTGTTTGAGCAGGTGAAAGACAACTGTCTTTTTTAATTTTATCAATAACCAAATATAATCTTTATTCATACCATATGAAGGAGGGCACGAAGAATCTTAGGGATTCCATAACCAATAAGGCTCATTGTCTCATTTTAGCTGAAGTATTGCTAGAGACAATTTTTATGTCTACGCCAGTTACTGGGCTGTTCCCATGTCGAGGAATCAGCAGATCAAGTTATCTGTCCTGTTTGATTTTCTTGAATTTTTCAAAATCTTCCAGTGGTCTTCCCCTGTCATATCTGATCCATACCACTGTGGAAGGTGTACAGAGCCTATTCTCCTTTCCTGTCAAGACAAATACAGAATCTTTCTCCCAAAATAGCATGTCCATGGCCCAGTAACTGGAATCAATTAGGGGAATAGTTTGACCTTTCTCCTAGAGGAACTTTAACATAACCACCAAACTCATAACTGTACTCATTTTGATAATCAAATAAATTCAAAGCAATTAAAGCAATCTAAACAAATATTATCTGTTGAGACTGTGCTTCTACTGTCCCCTGCTCTGACCTTCATGAGATCAAGGCCTAAATTATTTATACATCTGTATAAACTTGAATCCTCCCTACTATGGTGATTAATATCTCTGTGGGTACATACTGTAGTATGTCCCTTTCTCTATATAATTCCCAAGGCCTAAGTTTCTGAGATAGGCTAGGCTCCCTATTTCCTGCTTCTGATCTAATTTTTTTTAAAAAAATTTATTTATTTATTTTATGTATATGAGTACACCATTGCTCTCTTTGGACACACCAGAAGAGGGCATCAGACCCCATTGCAGATGGTTGTGAGCCACCATGTGGTTGCTGGGAATTGCACTCAGGACCTCTGGAAGAGCAGTCAGTGCTCTTAACTGCTGAGCCATCTCTCCAGCCCCCGATCTAACTTTTTAAGGTCGAATGCGTCCATATTTATATATCAGATAAAGATATATATCTCTTTATTTAACTTTAGTTAAATTCCCTTTTACTGACTGTATAAGCCTATTTATAAGCTCTAATTTTTATCATACTAGGCTGACAATCCCAGAAATCCTGTGTTGACCATGTTCAAAGATCCAAGAAATTTTCCTGGCAGGACTTTTACATGTCTTTAAATCATTTGTTCATTCATTTTCCCTAACTTCTCCCTCCTGTGGAGCCTAATACCTGCTATGTCTACCATCTGGCTCTCTTCTCATCTTAAGCTCTTTGTATCAGTTTCGAACTGTGGCACGAAATCTCCATGTGGCTCAGGCAAAATCTGTATATTCCCTTCTATCCTTAAAAACAATTAAATCCAGGCCAAGAAGATTTTGTACTTTTCCACCACCTTGCCCTTCTTACCCCCTCCCCTTGTAAAACATGCTATAAAAAAGCATTAAAAAAAAAAAAGAAAAAAAAACAATTAAATCAGACTCATAAATCTCTATCTGTTATTTATCTGGTGGCTGGAGGCAGACACCTCAGTTTGCTTCTCACTGTCTCCTTCAGGTCGGGATGGAACCACGTGACTCGGTTCTGCTCACTGAGAAACCAGTCCTCCTCTCACCCCCCTTAAATTATATCATGATGTGTGTGTAATCCATCTGAGAATTTCTTAAATCAATAGTGGATTCTCGCCTTCCACATGGGGTGCCATATTGTCTATACCACTTTGTCTTCCTGGGTGGTCACATGCACTCACCTGCACAGGAGCTATCTCGGATCCACGAATAGAAAACACACACGCACACACACACACACACACACACACACACACACACACACACACACATACACCATGCTTTGGCTAACTCAGTTGACTGGGCATTCTGTGCATCCTGTACAATCCATACAAAAGTCTTAATGGTTCTAAAATTTTGGTTGTGAGATTCATATATTACAGAATGTACAACTTTGACAAGATTCATCCTCAAAGATGCTGAACTGACGTGCTGTTCCAGTCCCCTGCTTCCTGATGCTGTCCAGAGACTTGCTTCTAGAACAGCTTTAGGATTGCTGCTGATTCCGGATCATTTTGCTTTATCTAACCTTTCAGACAGATCCAGTCAGAACTTCAGTCAAACCCGGCTGGGAAAATAGCCACTGGCCACTTACCGGAAATCTCACATGGCAGGTTGGCTTTATCTCCTCTGCTGCTGCATCCCCTTCTCTCCTCCAGTCTTCTGACTCTCTCTCTCAGTGTTCCACCCTGTGCTTAGTCATTGTCTATTGGTATCTTTATTGATAGATCAGAATCTGATTGGGGTCAAGGACCCTCAGTAAATAGTAAACACAGATTCCTGATCAAAGCATTAGAACCACCCTCTACACTGGCCCTTGTTTTCTTTGTTTTGTTTTTAATCACATCTGCAGTCCCGACTAATGCTGGTCAAATACCCTGTAGCCTGTTCTCCAGCCTGGTTTGTATTTTTGCCTATGATTAGTTAAGTCTGTAATTGCATATAATTTTGAATGTTACATAGACCCACCAATGCCGTGATACTACAAATATTGAAAGTGCACACTTACTTTTATTGAAGAGAAAGTTAAAAAAGTAAGTTTTAGCCAATAGTGGGAGAGGTTAATAAGTATATGTCATCAGCCTTTCTTTATACAACAAGGCTAATGTTGGTATTTTTTCTTGTGTATGTGTGTGTGTGTGTGTGTGTTGTGCATGCATGTTCACATGTGTGTGTAAGCCAGAGTTTGATGTTGGCTGTCTTCCTCAGTTGTGCCACTTTATTGAGGTAGGGTCTCTAAGTTATACCCAGAGCTTCCTAATTTGGTTAGAGAGTCCCCAGAGCCCCATCTCTGCCTCTGTGCTGGGATGATTGATGGGTTGCTAGCCCACCCAGCACCAACATGGGCACTGGAGATCTGACCTCTGTTCCTCATGCTCCTGCAGCAGGTACTTTTACGTTTATTTTTTAGCATTTCCTGAAAAAAATAAAAATTCCTTAATGTTGGTGTATTCTTTCAAAATATAAACAGAAAGGATGTTAGATGCTCACAGAAAAATATGAGTTAATATATTTGAAAATTTTCTGGGCCTAGGGGCACATACCTTTGATCCCAGGACTCAGGAGGCAGGTGCAGGCAGATCTCTTGAGTTTGAAGCCAGCCTGGTCTTCAGAGTGAGTTCCAGGACAGCCAGGGATACACAGAGAAACCCTGTCCCTAAACCCCTCCCCATCTCCAATAAAACAAAAAGAAGAAAGAAAGAAAATTAGGTAGATAGAACCATCTCATATGGTGCTGGAGAGTTGGCTCAGTGGTTAAGGACATTTGTTGCTCTTGCAGAAGACCTGAGTTGGTTCCCAGTTCCCAGTACCCACATGGTAGCTCACAACCACTTTTAACTTTAGTTCTAGGGAATCTGCCGTTCTTTCATGATCTCTGTAGGCACCAGGCACATATGTGGTGTGTATATATACATGTAGGCAAAACGCTCATAAAGTTACAAAAGCAATGCACATGAGTTAAAAAAGTAGTAGTATTGAGCCAGGCATAGTGCCACGTGCCTTTACTCCCAGTTTTCATGAGACACAGGCAGGCACATCTCCGAGTTTAAGGCCAGTTGGTCTACAAAGTGAGACCCTGTCTCAAAAGGTAATAAAGTTAGTATTGCATTCAATAAGGATATTTTAATTTTTGTTTCCTTTCAACTTTGAGTGCTAGGTCATGGTGTAAAATGCATGTAGAATATCAAATGTCATTAGACCTCCTCCTGGTATCAGGCCTGGGATGTCACATTATAGGTAAAAAAAAATGTAGATCTAATTTAGGTTGACTAGTCAATTGACTTTAAAGTGGATTATCATGGACTGTCTCAGCAGGCTCTAATAATACACGATCTCTTAAAAGCAGACCTTTCTTCTGACCAAGAGTAGAAAAGCAGGTCAAATTCAAAGCATGGAAGAAAAGGCCTTTCT